CAGCCCGAGTAATCATAGACCTTGTAAATAGGTAGCCTTGGCAGACAATACCAACTTAGATAAGGACAAGTGAGTCATAGGCAGAGTCATAGTGACCTGTCCCCTGAACCTTCACCCAGCCAATACCCAGATCTGAAAGATATCTGTATTCCATCTGAACACCCACACTCCAGTGTCATCCCCTTCCCCACATCCTGCCTTTTTGTGTTTATAACCCCTGTGTGAATGAACTACGATTTGAGAAACAATAAATAAATTATTTAAAAAAAAATAAAGCATTCCATTGCTTCCTAAACCCAAAGTCCCCAAATCCACATTCTTCCAAACAAAAGCAAGGTCAGGCCTATCACAGCAATGCCCCAGTCCCTGGTACCAACTTCTGTCTTAGGGTTTTACTGCTGTGAACAGACACCATGACCAAGGCAACTCTAATAAGGACATTTAATTGGGGCTGGCTTACAGGTTCAGAGGTTCAGTCCATTATCATCAAGGTGGGAGCATGGCAGCATCCAGGCAGGCATGGTGCAGGAGGAGTTGAGAGTTCTACATCTTCATCTGAAGGCTCCTAGAAAACTGGCTTCCAGGCAGCTAGGATGAGGGTCTTAAAGCCCACATCCACAGTGACACATCTACTCCAACAAGGCCACACCTCCTAATAGTGTCACTCCTTGGGCCAAGCATATACCAAGCATCACAGCCATGCTAAAATGCTAACTTACTAGTCCTTCCTTTGTTTTTGTACATTTCTTGGGATTTTATATATAGGTTTAATCATTTTGAACAGTGTTTCCCTAAGATTTATGCCATTCATTTACCTTCCTTGTCATATTGAATGCCTATGACTTTCAGCATATCGTTCAACAAGAGAGGACATGAGTTTTTGATCCAGATGTGAGAAGCCATAGAAGGCCACAAGTGAAGGTGCAGCCTCAGTTGCAGTTGACGGCCAAGGTCTGAAGGGATCATGCAAAGAAGGTGAGGTTTGCCACCAGGAAGAGAGTCTGAGAGGCTATTGGTGAGGCCTAGTTGCAGCAGAAGACCCCAGCATATTGGAGATGCCAGTACCATGGAATGACCACCAAGAACAACAGCAGCAGTGGAGTGGAGTTAACCAGAGCCCGGAGTGCTACAGAGGGAGGACAGAGCTGGAGATGTGACCCAAGCCCTTTGGAGGATCCCAGGAGATCATGTGTGGATCCTAGACACTGGAACAAGAAGCTGTGCAGTTGAAGTTGCCTTGGAGACACCAAGATGTTCAAGATGCCAGAGCCATAGGCTATCTGCTGAGGAAAGCTGCTGTCAGGGAGTGGAACCAGCTCACAAGAAAGAAGTTTGTTGCAGTGAACAAAGATGAAAAGGAGTTGGAGATCTGAAGACCACTTTGCCATCAAACTTGGAGATGCAGAGTTTGGAGTTTGCCCAGTAGACTTCCTGTCTTGCCTTGGGGATTACAGTTAAGTGATTGGATGAATCTCAGAAGAAACTTTGAACATTGGACTTTTAACATTTTTCAGACTCCTATAGACTATGGGGACTTTGGAAGTTGGACTAAATGTATTATTTTATTATACTGTGCCTCAGTATGGCCCCCGTAGACTTATGTATTTAAAGAAGCCAGTGTGGACTATGGAGTGGAATCTGATGGTATGAATATTCTTGGCCCAGGTGCTGGCACTATGAGAAGGTGTGGCCCTGATGGAGTGGGTGTGTCACTGTGGGTGTGTGCTTTAAGACCCTCATCCTAGCTCCCTAGAAGCCTGTCTTTTCCTGTTCCTTCAGAACAAGATGTAGAACTGTCAGCTCCTCCTGCACCATGCCTGCGTGGGTGCTGCCATGCTCCCCCCTTGTTGACAGTGGACTGAACCTCTGAACCTGTAAGCTAGCCCCAATTAAATGTTATCCTTATAAGAGTCGCCTTGGTCTGGTGTTTGTTCACAGTGGTAAAACTCTTAACTTAGACACACACACACACACACACACACACACACACACACAGAGTGCACAAAGGTAATGGGATGGGAGTTAGAAGATTTACACTGTAAGATTTTAGGTTGACTGGCAATTCTGCAGCTTCCAAGTCAGTATGGTACATGTGAAGGGACTTGACCCAAGTTGATAAAATAAGAGACTAGCACCCAGAAGTAGACAGACACGTATTCAGCCACTTGAGTTTCAGTAGGTGCAAATGAAGTTTAATGAATGTACATTGTTGTAAATCTACACAATGGAATACTTAATAAACACATGAGCTATTCAGACTATGTAGGTAAATGCCAGTCACTGTGCTGTGCTACACAAATTTCACTTACTGTGTAAAGCCATATTTCAGTAATAAGGTCATGGTTGTTTCTGTCATTTGTCCTCCATGTGAAGGCAACGTCATTACATACTAAATCTGATTCCATGTCATCTTTAACCTTCAGATTTCTGTACATAATTTTGCTAGGCCCCAGTGTGCTTGCAAACAGAGATACGGACATGAAACTGAAAGGCTCCAAGGTGACTGACCATCTGAAGGAAAGCATACCATGGCAGAGTCGCAAACCCAGCAGCCCATCATGCCCAACCACTTTCACCTCCCTTCTCATCCATGAAAAACTGAAACTGACTTGAAAGGTGCTTCCGGAGAGTCAGCTCATGCAGCCCAAGGACTGTTTCCTTCTCTTGAAGTGGGCGTGGTCAGATAGGCATGGTGCCATAGTCTGCAAGTCCAAGTATTCAGGGACTCTGAGACAAGGGGATCTCAAATTTCAGGCCAGCCTGAGCAACATAACAAATTCTGTCTCAAAATACAGTGTTTGAAATATCTGAAAATAAATCTTAGTTGGTACGGTACTTGTTTAGAATGTGCAAGACCCCTCGTCGAATCCCCAAATAGCATTGGGGTGGGTGGTGGGAATCTCATAACACTGGTGCTGCTATTGATTTGTAAAGACTTTATGAGTCTTAATATCACAAATGCAGATCTTACATAATGTAAAGTACTTAGCAAATATATTGCTAATATTTGCTATTAAATATGCATATGTGTGCAAGCCTGTGTACCGTGTGTGTGTGTGTGTGTGTGTGTGTGTGTGTGTGTGTGTGTTGCATCTCTTAGCAATCAGAACAAGTTTACCTCCAAAGACTGCTGCTGTTTCTTGTAACTCCAGTTTAGTTGGAGCTGCAGTTGTTTCTTTCAGGCAGCAGATGCCAGCAGAGTTCTTTTAAAATAAAAAATCAAGTCTCTTTGGCACCTCCAGAGCCACAGCTTCCTGGTCACATTACTACAGACAAATATTTTAAAAATTAAATATTCTATGTCCTGCAAAGTCTTTTGAACAAAAGGAACCAGTTTTATTATCAACAACAAAAACTATCAAACATAGCATTTTCAAGATACTCAGCTTGTGAAGTTTACTTTTTTGCTATAATAATTTTAAACCTTATGTACTTTAGTTAAATGAATCCCAGTGTTCTTGTTTGAATGTGGGACTTTCTGTATTTAAGCAACTTCAAACATAAGTCTGACTAGATGTCTGTTGAAAAGCTTAATAGCTGAAATACTATGTTTAGTTATGTTTGGTAAGAGATCACCATGGGAGTCTTATCTGGGGAGGCCCATGTAGCAGAGATGAATTTAGGAGTGTTTTGGGAAATCTACATTTGCACTTAATGAATGGAAAAGAATGAAGACAAACTTTGATTGTAGAAAACTATGAAAAGTCATCACTTCTACTAGTAACTGTATAAATTACTTAGTGTTTACTAGTTTATTTACAGTTAGAGTCCTGTTGTTAGCAATAATGTTTTCTAGTATTTTGGTGATTTTAGTTAGACCTTTGGAGTGATAAAAGTAATACTTATATGCTTTATTGATCTTAAAATAATATGTAATAATATGCATATATATAATCATGTGCTCAGGGTTTCCCTGTCAGGCCTGCCTGTGAGCATGTGTGCTGCCCTAGTGTGACTGTGTTACTGCTTGTTTTATTTAACATGTTTGTTGTTATTTATTGCATTACAATAGTTAACAGGAAATATGAGCTCAGATATATTTCAGAAAGACTTTTTAAGAGTCTTTCCCTTTCCTTTCCCTCTTTTCCTTTATTTGAACTTCCAAAGAGAAAAACTATACATTTCTGACACACATGATGTTAAGAGAGAGGAAAACACTCAAAATCCTTCTTAAATGCCACCTTTATCTTGCAAACAAGACATGACTTTTTTTTTTAATTGTATGTGATGTTTCTCAGAGATCATTACATTGGAAGCCGAAGGAAGCAGCAGTCTTCTGTGTTAGAGTTTAACATTCATCAGCCAAGTGATGGGGACTCTTTTCTCTCAGTGAAAGTTTCTTGGTGTGGCTAATAGCCTAAAATTATAATTTATGGTTACCATATGATTTGATAATTTAAATCTGATTTTTTTATCATTTCTTTCCAAATGTTAGAATGTTTTGAAATGTACTATTTATAGACAGGCACATATCTATAAATAAATTTAATAGGAAGTACTGGTATGCTGTTTCTATAATTCCCGTATGTATTAACCTTGAGTCAGTGAGTTAGCAACTTTGAGTCCTTTGAAATTATGAAATTAGTTTAGATTTTTTCTTAGTTATAACATTATACATTGGTATCTTTTCATACTAATTTTCATGAAAAGTTAACTGCTTATAAAGATTCATAAAGTCTGTATGTCAGCTGACTTCTTGTAAACTAATTCTAGCATGTTAATATTTGGCCTCTGGTTATTTGCATGGGGTTGTAATACATGTTTAACTAGTTTTCCACATTTTCAAAAATACTTCTTATCCTTCTCTATATAGGAACCTTTATAATTACTGTGCTCATTCTCAGGCATATTAATATCAGAGCACTCAAACCTAGAGCCTTTAGCAGATATTGCAAGTTTTAAAGTATGCATCTCTAGCAGAGATGAGGAATATCACTAAGAAAGGCACAGTAATGTGCTGTTTTATATTAACAGGAAACAGCAGCAGTAGTGGTTTGTAAACCCCGCAGACAGGAAGTTTAACACATGCGTAGCTCTTAGCTTCTTGGTAGGAAGTTGAGCTCCTTCTGAAAACATTTACAGTTACTTTCAAGTGTAAATGCTCGCGAATGGCAGCTCACAAAGAACTGTCCTGTGGCCAGCACACAGGCACACCCACCGCCCTCCAGAAACTGGAGGGGTTTGCTAGCCGACTATTCCACAGGCACTCCAGAGGCACAGCACATGATCAGAGGGCAGTTCTGGAAGAGGACAGCCTTCGGGTCTCTGAGCACACTGCCTCATGGGACAAATCAAGTAAGTGGTTTGGTTTGCTTTTTTAACTGATATGTTGTAACTAGCAACTAAAGTACTTAGAGTTTTAGAACCAAATACAAAGAATCCAGTTTTGTCTGTTTTTTGATTTGCATAAGGACTTTTTTTTCAAGATGGTGAGAAAGTTCATAAAAAATAAGTTGAACTGTGTTGTTCTTTTTTTTTAATTTTATGAGTACCTAGGTAAATGTCAATTACAAAATATCAGTGTTATTCTTACATAATTTCTGTTATATGTCATGTGGTTTTTTGTTCTAAAGTATAAACAATGATCTGCTTACTTTTAAATTTCTTTTATTTATAATTAACCTTATGTTTCAAAAGTTTCATTTATGTACATTGTATCAGGTTTGTCATCTTATTTTACTGCACATGTAAAAATTACTTCAAGTCTTATACAAAAGGCCTTCTAATAAAAGCACATTATTAAACTATGTAAAATTTTACATTTGTTACATGATGAACATCAAAATCTTTCATACTTGGATTTTATATCATGTATAAAATAGGTTAAACAAATTGTGTAACGTATTACATATCTTTAGGATCTGTTAAAATGTTCAGACTGTTTTGCTAAAATGATTTGACATCTTGGATGGCAAGAAGATTAAAGGCTGAGTTCACACATAAACAGCAGTGGTTCCTCCATTCCCCACGTTAGCTTGGACCCTCCCCAGGAGCCTGCAGTGTGACTGAGAAGCAGCCGTTACCCTTGGCATTGTAGCCTTTTCTACTGTGTTTATGTGGTCATTAAATAGAACTAGGATTTGCCTCCTTGTATTCATGCACTGTACAAAGCAGCTAAGTAAGAGAACTCATTTTAAAATAAGAATGTACATGTAGATGGCTCTGGAGAAGCCCAGGCTGTGGTTTACTATGTCAGAATAGTGTTTTAACTCCTCAGCTGCTTTAGGGAGATAGGAAAAAGGACATTTTTATACAAAACCATTTCATTCAACATTTTCTCTCTCTCTCTCTCTCTCTCTCTCTCTCTCTCTCTCTCTCTCTCTCTCTCTCCTCTCTCCTCTCTCCTCTCTCCTCTC